CTTTCACCTTCGTTGTTATAAAAACGAAGTGGAGGAGTTCGGAATGTTTTTGTTGAGCGTTTCCTTTTTATTGTCTCCTTTGATAGAGGTTTTGATTGCCAATGAATGGTATGCGACGTGTCACGGTTCTTTTATCGAAAGCAAGCTTGAGGTTTCAGTTGATCAGGCCTGTTTTCTCGATTCTCTGTGTTTCTATGCTTTTTCTTTCGGAAAGAGTTTTAGATGTTTAGTCGCTTTCGCAAGCATTGTTTAGAACGTTAGCTTCCCTCAGTCTAGTGGTTATAATTAATATATGTTTGAAATAGCGGAAAAAGGACAAGAAAGTTTGTTTCGTTCTCTTGTTATTAATTACAAGCTAGTAATATATTTGTTATTAAAATATATTAAAAACGAATAGTGTTAGTTCTTGATAAAGCTGAGAACGCGATATTAATTATTGTCGTGCTTTACTTTCAGCTTTCATGTAGCGTGTTTAGTATATTATATTACGAATATATCACCGTTTAGTTTCCAAGGGTGACTTATTATAAGGATATTATTAGGTTGTATTAGCTTTTAGAAAACAAAAGTTACGAATTAATAACGAGAGTAAATAAATAGTACTACCTAATCTTTCGGTAAAGATTATCGCGAAGAACAGATATTTTGTTTACTATGGAAAAACATTAAGGCGCTTCACGAGCAGATGACGAGCGTCCTAGTACAAATTTCATTGCGGAAATCATCGACAAACATCCCGGTACCACAGAACTTCCGGTTTCTCGTCGGTATATTGCACTTTCGGAAACAGACGAGCAGTTTCAGTTTCAAATATTTAGGATGCAGCGCCGTCAGACGACCCGGTTCCAATAGACGCGGTGGAACATTCTCTTGTGTCTGGAAACTATGGTACGAAAAGTTTGCTATGCATTTGCTAGATATAGCAAACACGTTGTACTATCGTATATTTATGTCTGTCCAGGCATAATACGTTTGAGCTTTCTAACTTGTAGAAATGTTTCAATTTTAATATTAAATTTCCTCAAGGGTTAAGACATATCAATAAGCCAGAAATCTTATTAGCGAAAGATTTATAAATTAAATCAATTAATCAATCAATCACGATTAAATTACTTAGCTTCGTTGAAATGTACTGTACATCTTCCTATTTCAAGTCTCGTTGTCAAAAATGGTCAACTGTAATTTCGGAAAATTGTATAATTTCGATATTAGAGTGTACGATTAAGATTTCATTCGTTAGAGACTGAATAATTAATCTTGATGAATTCGTAATTGTACGACATTAGCGTGTGAAAAAGGTTAGGCCAAAGATACAAAATCTAATAAACATGTACACCGAAGCAATAAAGCCAACAATGTTATACAAGCCACCCCAATTCTCGCCCAAGGAAATGGTCTTACTCGAAGGGAAGCAACCCTCGGATGGGGTTCTATGTTCGTAAAGACTACTTTTCGACTAGCCCTTAGTCATAAAGGCAATGTCACAGGCCGTTAACCTCGATTATCCTCGTAACCTCGATTATTCGGGGTTATAGGCAAAAAAGGTCAACTAATCGCGTCTGGAATATCGTTGGAACATCCTCGATCGGTCGCGATTCGTCTGAGTGCCAACCACGAAAGAAAAAGTTAAATCGTTGCAGCAGCATTGATTCGGTAACTTATGCGCTGTAAGTAGTTCACTGACACGAACTCTCTTAGACGATCGCCTTAGATTCTTTCGATCCTCATCTTGAGGTCTCCACTTGCCAGAAGCTGCGATATTTATCTTTGAGTGCAGCGAGACATAATCGATTCTTGAACAGGAAATTCTGAGTAGGCAGTAGATTCGATTTATCTTTCACTTTTTAATATTTGTAAATTTTTCAGAGCAGTTTTTTATTCTGTCATACTAATTAGTCATTTTCTCGTTGCTTAATACTTGGTGTTGGTTAATCCTTTTGTGGCTATCCAGGAAGTTTAAAAATTTCAAAGAGCTTCATACAAGACACATAACATATAAAAGGTTTCTACGAGTTTTCGAATATTTTCTTAAGCTGGTATACAAATAACAAGATACATAAAAGAATCGTACAGCTTGGATTAAAAATACAGATACTGCGGTTGGCACGCTGCTCTTCCAAAGATCTATTTCTCGTGATTCGAAACTTTCGCCACTCGTCAGTCTATCAACTCGTCTTTAATTAACGAAACCAAACGGGTTGGCACAAATATCTTCCAGAAGTCCATTCCACGCGAAACTTTCCCACCCCTCCATACGGAAACACCTCGATTCGATTACAACGTGCTGCCAGATCGAAGCAACCGCAAAGCCAATCTTTCACCCGATCAAGTCAACTCGATAATGGAGATCGGCGTCTAAAGTGACTCCAATACATTTGAATAGATTTCTCCGTAGAGCGGTAGCGTTCGAAGCAGTTCCACGGAGTCGCTGTCGTAACAGCCACTCCCAGCGAAGTCTGCAGTTTTGCGGATTTCAGCGAAGTAGCCGCGCTATTGGAGACCCGGATTCCCACGGCATCAGCGTAATCTTCGACCGAACTTCGTCGAACCTAATATTTTCCGCAAGTTTACGCGGTCCGGCCTTCTCCTTGCGTAATCTCGTTTCCCGTTAACGGTGTAATTTACAGTCAACCGCCCAGCCATAATCTTGTGTCTCGCAAGGTACACGCTAAACTAGTTCCTCAGAAGTTCGATAATTATCTCGCTACAACGAGCCTCTCGATACAGTAGCGTCGCGTTAACTGGTCGAGATTTAATTTTTCCAATTGCCTTCGTAATTATGAACGAGATATTCCGCGACACGATATCGTTCGTGCAACGTTATGTTTTACGATTCGAGATCCGTATCATTAGGACTGTTAAGATATGAGATATTTCGTCTAAATATATCGAGCAAGAAATTACTTTCTGAGATATTTCATATTTTTGAGTTATTCTATAGAAATAATAAACAGAAATTGTATTTGCAAAATACTCGAGGCGAAATTAATTTCTGAGATATTTCATCTGGAGATAAATAAAACATTTAACTATGACCAGTTAACGATGGGCTATTGTGTAACAAGCTTCTCCATGAATCTTCCACCATGGCAACATCATTTATTCGTCGTAGGATGAATGCAATAATTCATCGATCGAACACATTCGGTAAATCCCTAGCTGGCAAATAGTCGGAGCTTCGTAGTACGAATCGGTCATTAAGCTATCCGGAGACGTGGCTTCCAATCGGCTTAGCTTTCGGATCGAGTTTCGGCGCCGACAGGCTAACAACAAGCGGATGAGATTAGAGGAAACTCCTCAAATCCGTTTCCCTATGATCGGCCAATGAAATTTCACCAACGATACAAAATGTCCACGCGCGACACAGTAGCCCCCCTTCAGCAGCATCGTGCAACATCTGATGTATTCTCTCTGGTTCGATGACCATCGAATTCTCTTCCATCCAGCTGCTCCTCTTTCTCTCTGTAGTAGATCTATATGCGTTGTTCGCAAGTCATCGCCCACGTGAACGTAAAGTAGATAGCGAACGTAGTTGGCAGACCTTTAAGTAGAACGCGGTAAGAATAACATCATCAATTTTCCAGTGCACCATCTGCTCGCATCATCCATTAGCGTTCTTTTGCATCGCTAAGCCCCGATTTTGGAACGGGTCACCCGTGGCGCTTGCACGCCCGGAAAAATAACTGTGATCCTGACGAGCTTCTCATTCGATTGTTCGCCAGTGTCCCCCACCAACGTCGCCAGCAGCACCCAACCCCACCACCCATAGAGAGTACACCACCCCCATTCGCAGAGAGATCTGGTCCGGTAGAACTAGTTTCGAAACCGAAGTTCCTTTAGTCTAGCGGCAGTAGCGACCGAGTCTAGCGAAAAAAAAGTAGTGGTCAGCCTTCGTAGATGACGTAGAGGATCATTAAGTTTTTTCATACGCTTTTGTACTCGAGTTACATCGTTTCCACTAGCTGCTGCTCGTCCACCTATATCGAAACCTACCTTGCCAACCATTGATCGTGTACAAAGAGTGAAGAAAGACAGGCCTAGAGAAGGATTGACGAGGGACGAGATGTAGAATCGAGATCAACGCGTTCCAAGATTGTACACCGTACACGTGTCTGCTTTTGTCTTTATGATCGTTTCTCCCACTCTGTCTCTGTCTCTGTCTCTGTCTCTGGCTTTCATACGATGCACCGAGTGATATTCAACCATCAGCCGTTCTGGTACACCGCTCGTCGTGCGGGAATAAAGGAGCGAATGAATTGCCGAGTTCCGGCTACGAAACTTTATGAACCGAAGTATTTCTTCCGCTCTTCCTCCATAAACAGTTTCCACGAAAGTTTCACGGTTTACAAGCGTTGAACGTCGTAACTTTTGTTGGACCCATCTTGTAATTCTGGGAATGTCCGGAATGAAGTACTTCGCGTGATGAAGCTTGTTTCGACGATCTGTGTACGTATTCTTCTCGCACGACAGACCGTTTACCAGTGGCTTGTCGTCAAGCTGAATGAATCACCCTGTACAAGGATGATTTAAAAGGAGAAATCGATGCTTAGTCGATGATCAGTCGATCACTGTAAGATAGACAGGTTCTAACAAACGTGTCTCTAATTTCAAATAATCATGTTGGCGTGTGTGTTTAGAATCTGTAAAAAATATTTGCAAATTTAATTATTATTTATTAAATTTATTTATTGAACACTTTTATGTATACGTAAAAGATATGTTTCTTGAAAATATAGAAGAACTTCTGTCTTTGCAGTTATTTTAAATTAAAGACACTTTTAGAAGAACGCTCTGTCTGTCTGACCAAAGCATAGATCATTCTCCTTAAGTCGTCTCGTATCAGAACACTTTGTCTCTTCTCGTGTGAACCATATAGAGCATAGCCTTGTCTATTGTCACTCGTCAACCACTGCACCTGTTTGCCACTCTCTCTACTGTGTCTAAGTATGCTATAAGAGTGCTATCAGTGTGGAATAACAACGTGTTAAAAACACGCCCAGTTCCCCTGGTGGTGCAAATCGTCGTCGACGACAATGCCGACGACGCCTCCGCCACCCATCGCTGCGGTACCCGGCCCCGGTTCCGGTTCAGGCTCTGGTTCCGGTTCACAGGGTGCTCAGGGCGTCGTACTCTGTCCACGTACGCTGTCGCAGGTCCGACGTTCACGGCTACGAAGGGCCCTCACCGAGGCGACCGCCGAGACCGTCAACTACGTCAAGACGGTGGGCACGATACTTCCGACTAAGCCGTAATGCCTGATCTATCTTAACCACCCGTATTATACACGATTATTTGCAATGTTGATTAGTTACAATTTTGCATCGTACACACGCACGGATCGAGAGTCGAGTCGATTTCGTTCTTTTGGAATGTTAGCTTTTACTTCACTTTTACTTCAATAGTACGTTGCTGACACTAAGATGGGTTAAATAGAAATTTTGAAAAATTGTTAGGGTTTAATACGAGCGCTACTGGCAATTGAAATATAGAATTTGCGTCAAAGCAGTTAAGTAAAATTCATGTACAACGTGCTTAGGTTAAGTAATACGTTCAAATTTGATGGTGATAGTTGGTAATCAATAAGAGATTGGAAGTACATATAAAGACGAAGCTACTCGATTCCAAAAGAACTCGGTTACCGAAGTTAAAAACTATAACGCGTTTAATTTTCTCGGGATTTCTCTGCTCGAATGTTAAAAGACGTCGAAGAGCGGCACGTTACGACCTTCCATTTTCGACGATAGGAGCAAAAGTTGGATTTGTCTCGGGGATAAAAGGATCGTATCTGAACAATTCGATTCAGCGTCGTTAGCATCCTCGCGAGGGGAATCGTATTCCGGTATGTGAAATCGTTCCGATCTAACCTAACCTCGACGCTCGAGGATACGCGCGATATTAATGCAGCATGCATTTTATTGTGCGTACGTGCGATTATGTGTCCGAGCACCGTAGTTAGCGTCACTGACCTATAGAACATGCCTCTCACCCACTATTCACCGTCACGCTATGAAGTATTGCAACCAATTTACGAACCTAGACCTTAGATCTATCTCTCAGCCAGCCATGACCTGCATTCTTCGAACCTGATGGCCGATATATCGGAAGAAACGCCAACGAAGAATCCGAAGTGCCGTTTCGTTCCCCTTTATTAAACTTTCGTCGGAAATGAACGAAAGATAAGACGGTTTAATAAGGAACTACATTTTTCCCCGTTGTATAATTAAAATTTATTGAAACGTTTTCGAGGAATCAAGAGTTTCTTTCAATTAATCGAGATCGTAGCTATATAAATTCACTAGCGCGCATTTATGAAATAACTTTTATGTACTCGTCGCTGAGGTTACATTATGTACCAACTTCCGCCAACATAGTTTGCAAACTCTGACTGTGCATCGATCGGAGTCGAGGATGTCTGCCGTTTCCTTGAAACAATATTAGTACATGATTAATATACATCTACTTCTAACGAAATAATCGAAACATGGAATATTATTCTTTTTTTTTTCGAAAAGCACGATATGAATTTTACCGATTTTTTAATAATTTTCATAACAGGCGAACCAGATTTTTTGAAAGAATTAGAAAATTAGATGTTTTTTAGTGTTAGTAGTATATTATTTAACGAAACTAATCTCGAAGTTAATCAATAAGAGAGAAACGAAAAAGAGAAGGAAAAAATAAGGAAAGCAGACGAGGTTGCGAAGTGATGGTAGAGAAGAAATAAAAGAAGGAAAAGTAAAGGAAAGGAAAGGAAAACAAATCTCTACGGAATTAAACAAGCAATTAAACCATTAGTTACCATCTCGAAACCGTCTTATCTTTACTTCCCCACGAATCTCTTGCTTCTTGAACTTGCGTAGTACTCAGACTGCTATTTGCCGCCCACGATGTACCAGCATGCCCTCTCTTTCTCCCTTTTGCCTAAAAGAAATCGCAGAATCGCGTATCTTGAATACAGTAGCACGAACAACGAAGTTTAATATCGTGCTTGGTGAAATACGTTTTCTTTATGCACTTCCCTTTTTCCGCGCATTCTTTATCGAACTAACTTAGCCCGCCGCATATGCCAGATTTACGATCGTGAATTTCTACTCCGTATACGGGCAGAGACATGTTATAAAGCTGCGAGGCATATAACGGAAAATTAGCATCTCGCGTCTCACACAAACGTTAAGCCTGATTTCCCTGCCTCTTTCATCTTAGATGCCCTAGAATTGTTAGTGATAGATTCGCCTAGAAAATTGATTAGGAGATGTTACTTAAATTTTATTTTAATCTTAAGAAAACAACAGAAATTATTTTTCTAAGGGTCTTCTAAATCCCATTTAGCCCAAAACCAAGGTATAAAGAAACCTACGTTGTGGATAACCTGTAAAGTTATAAAACATAAAAATATTATTTTCAATTCAATCGAAATCTTCCAATTTCGAACGAAAAAACGGCCTGTCAGCACGAATTCATCCATCTACTATCGACAACGATCAAAATTCAGATGGACATTATTGCTTCGCGAACGACGACAATTTGGCTCGTTTGCTACGCGCTTTTCACCGGTTCACCGGTCGGAAACAGTGGCATGAACAAATGGCGCGCTTACGCTTTTGGAAACGGTCGAAACGCGCCTCTGGTAAATTACAACGCGCCATTCTGAGCGCGAACGATTCCGGAAGGCCCGTTTCGATGTTAGTTTCGCTCGACGAGCGGACAGCCTTCCAGCGTTAAATTTATCTTGGAAAATTTATCCACGCCTCGACTCGCCTTTTGCAGCTTCTGCGCGCAGATTAATTCCCGTGAGGGCTATGTTCATCGATTCTGGCAGGAAATTTGGAAATTTTGCCTGATCCCGATCAAGAAAATATTTGAATTTAAAATAATAATTGTTAGCTAGAGATAAATTTGAGAATATTATTAATATTACATTTTTTCATACTTTCCTCAAATTCGAGAAATATTCTAACAATAAGATAATAACTAATAATAATAATAATAATTTCTAATAATAAAAGAAATTGTGTAAGGGACGAAAATGATCCAAAGGATGCTTTCCACGTTTCACGACTATTTCCCAAGATGTAGAAAATTGAAATATTTTAAATATTCTATTTTGCGCATTTAATATTCAACGTTTGAACAATCTATATTTAAATTGCGCGTTCGAGACAATTCGCATTCCATAAATTCTCAAGTATTTCAGTATCAATTTCTACAGCCAACTTAATTATACGTAACCCGAAGTTTGCGAAGCGTATCGAGATCAGCCGAAAGAGCTTTCACGATATTATCATACGAAGTAAAATGAAATTACTAATCGTGGCAGACTCCAGCCAGCTGTGTACCAGTGACACAATCTGCATCGTGATATCGTTACGATACGAGCCGAATACCGCGATCCACGTTGTTATTAAGCGAGTTCTGCTACTGGCATTTAAACGATGTCTTGGATAATTGAACAGGTTGTGAACGTGCTTCTACGATTGGAAGTCTATAGGAAATTCGACGAAACACTGCTGTATCCACAATATTAATAGCCGAGCATGAACAGAACAATCGTTTTATTTATTAAACTCCGAAAATACAATTATTAGATCGAAACATATAAACGAGTTTTACGAGTCACGCTTCACTGAATGGTAACAAATGTGCATTTAGATGCGTGAAAGTTGATAAACTAAAAGTGATTTATGAGATATTTTACGAAGCAATAAAAATATTTGTTTAAAAAGAAGTTTAGAAAGTTGCTACAACGAAATTCTTTATGCAGTCCTATCTATGTAAATGTTTTTTTCAAAAAGAACAATAGTAAAATAAAATCTATAAGAAAATATAGCTATGTCTCGCGAAAGTAGTTGTCATCATAGGTGAAAAGAATGATTTTAGTTTAGTAATTTCGATATTTATGCAAAATGATCAATGTAATTTCTTTCAAAGCGAACATTTATAACAAAATAAAGTCTCTAAGAATATAAAGTAATAGAAATTGCCAGCATAAATTCTGTTTAAACAGAGCAATTATAGTAAAAAGTAAAAGTCCTGACCTACTATATCGACAGATATACATAAATCAACGTAAACACAATTAACTGCCTTCTGCGTGCACACCAACATTTTCAGGGGCGGGAAATCACTTCGATGGATCGATGAATAAACGCGATGTAATTGCACGTGACGGTAGCGGTGTACAGAGCAAGTGTACAAGTCGTAGAGGATCAAATTATGTCGTAGACATTAAATCTTCGTAACTGATTGATTCGTCGTATTAATTCGCATGTTTCCGCGTAATGATTGTAATTAATATTCACCCTCTACCTCTCCCTACGTTCTGCTACGTTACCAGCAGTTTCTATCGGATCTCGTTCATGGATCGTTACGATTTTGCCTGCTAACGACAGCATAGCCGTTAAACAGTGCCGCTTCTGGTCGTAAAATAAATCGCCAAGATCGCGTAATACGACGCATGAATGAGATAAGGGAATTATGACTGCCCTCTGGCAGAATGCCGTTCTAAAAACGCGTTTATCTACCAATTAACACTTGGACCAATACACAGGCCAGGAGCGTTGTAAGGTTTAATGGTGCGGTTAATTTTGACTGATTATCGTGCCACGAAATAGTGTTTCTCGTGTCGATATTACGCAATCTGTAGGTAAACGTCGGAAAAACGCGTGTGGGTTGTAGGCTGGTTTCAGGTTTTATTGGATGTTCTACGTATGTTGCAGCACTCTATTGTGCGGAAGATATGGAACATGGATGGCGAAACGAGATCGATAGATAAAAATCTGATTTAAAATCTGTGACGTGTGCATAAGGGAAATTGGAATATGTAAAGGTATTTCAAAATTAGACTGATTATTCCTAGCGAAGGATGTAACATTCTGTTGAGAATATAAAGGAGAAATTCGATATGCAGATATATGCAATTGCGATCGATATGTGCAAATATTATTTTGTAATATTACATCGATTATGCTTTGATCGATTTGCTTACGAATGCGAAGAAATAATTTTACTAACGAGATCGTATGTAGTTGAGGATATGAGATAAAGATTGCGCAAATCAACGATGATCAATAAAAAAATTCCTATTAAATCCGTAGCATCTCATTAACAGAAATTGGTGGAAATACTTATAACTGGAGGTGTAATGCTAACCTAATTATATTTCCATTAATTTTGCTACGAACATGGAATAATTTGGTTATCCAGATCGGGCTTGATATAAGGGGAATTATGTAGAATATGTAAAATATGGTACATGAGAGAATTATAAAGCAAAGCTGATGGTTGTAGATAAAAACCTCTGTGAAACCCGCGACATTTATTTGAGAGAAATTGGAATGCGTGTACAGATTACAAAGCTCGACTGATTCGTAGCGAGAGATGTAATATCCAGTCAATTATATTTTGATTTATACGGTCTCGGGTGTAAACCAACACTTCACCTTTACAGAGAGATAACAATTTACATACATTTTGTTAGTTTGAAATATTCAAAAGATAATTTATGCGAACTCTAATTTAAAACAGAAGAAGAGAATACGAAATGTTATTTAACTGAATAATTGGTATCCAGTATAATATTAATTTTTTCTATCATGTAGTAATGACCGCGTTTCACTAATAAATTAATTAAACAGCGCAGAATATGTACGAATAGAACGATGATCATCGATAGGATCATGAAATCGCCATTTAAACTACTCGCGAGCGCCATCCAATCGTAATTAATTGATTCGTTAATCGCTGTCTAGATAAGCAAACATAATGAATTCCGCTGTTGATTAATCGCGATCGTGGAAATACGAAATTTCCAACAGGCTATACCTGCTAGCTTAATCGCGCTATATGAACTATAGGACAGTTGCAAAATAAATGGTCGTATGACTTTTTCTCTTTCTTTTCTTTTTCAATGTCCGCTAATAAACCATGGAACGAGCCTCGTATCTTACTAAAAAATTTGTGGGAACGATTTACGATCCGTTGATTTATTCTATCCTCGCGGTTTTTATTTGGTTTAACGACTTATTTTCTTTCGAAACAAGTGTTTCTATCACGTATCGCCGGCCTGGCTGTTTTATTAGTGTTACGTTGGACGTTTAAATCTACGCGGTTTGTGAAATTACGAGCTCACGTAAAGTGCAGATTCACACGGTTATGAAAGACGAACCGGGAATAACGACGAATGTTGAAATTCACATGACTGAAATTCAGATGACACAACTGCAGCTGTTAATCGCGCGATTCGCGGCCGAGCTGTAACTCCCAAGTAAATTTATACGGAGCGTTCTACGACAATCTTCTAACTATCTCGTAACCTAAGGTTCTGTTAACAGGTGAAACGATGATCGCGACTAATGTACTCTTTTCACGCAATATTAATTAATGATATTAAAGTGTTCGCAAGGCTCTTTACTATACATATTTACTACTATTATCAGTAATTCGCGTTTCTACATTGAAATCGATCACTCTGTGTACATGATTAGATTACAAATTTCTTCCACAACACAACAGTTTCGTT